TCCGGGCTTTTAGTGTAACCATACCTGAACAGTGTACATTGTACCCATTAAGTAATTTCTCATCTCTGAACCCCCTCCCACCCTATCCCCTTTCCTAGTCTCCAATAGCTATTATTCTACACTCTGTGTCATGTATACACATTTTTCAGCTTCTACTTATAAGTGAGAATATGCTGTATTTGTTTCTCAGTTGTTTCACTTAAGATAATGGCCTTCAGTTCCATCCCATGTTGCTGCAGAAGACATGATTTCATTCTTTTTTATGGTTACATAATATTCCATTGTGTATATATACCTAATTTTCTTTATCCAATCATCTGTTGATGGACACTTAGGTTGATTCCATATCTTTGCTATTGTAATTAGTACAGCAAAAAAACATATGAGCCCAGGTATCTTTTTGATATAATGATTTCTTTTCCTTTGGGTATATATCCAGTAGATGGAATCTCTATACTGTTTTTCATAGAGGTTGTACTACTTCACATTCCCACCACGAGTGTATGAGTGTATGTTCTCTGCACCCTCACCACACATTTATTACTTTTTGACTTTTTAATAACAGCCATTCTGGCAGGCATGGTGGCTCACTCCTGTAATCTCAGCACTTTGAGAGGCCAAGGCAGGAGGACTGCTTGAGGCCAGGAGTTCAAGACCTATCTAAACAACGTAACAAGACCTCAGCTCTACAAAAAAATTTTTTAAAAAAATCTAGCTGGGTGTGGTGGTGCATACCTGTAGTCCCGGCTACTTAGGAGGCTGAGCCAGGAGGATTACTTGAGCCCAGGAGTTCAAAGTTACAGTGAACTATGATCACAACGCTGTACTCTAACCTGGGCTACAATAGTGAGACTCTGTCTCAAAAATAAACAAATAATAGCCATTCTGACTGGTGTAAGACGATATCTCAATGTAGCTTTAACTTGCATTTCCCTGATGATTAGTGATGATGAACATTTTTTCATATACTTGTTGGCAATTTGTATGTCTTCTTTTAAAAATGTCCTTTGACCACTTTTTGAGGTTACTTATTTTTTTGTTGTTGTTGAGCTGTTTGAGTTCCTTATAAATTCTGGGTATCACTTCCCTGCCAGATACATAGTTTATAAATATTTTTTTCCCATTC